ATATTTATATATATATATATATATATATATATATGGTAAACACTCCAATATAAATGCATTAAAAATTAATAATACGTATATAAATCCTCCCATCTTATTTGAATGATAGGTAAGTTCATAATTTTTTTCCTAAATTAATTTAGGATTGGGTTAAGAGTAACTCATATAGGAAGAAATATTACAAGGTAGGTGTACATTTGGAGGTATTGTAGCGAATACCATCACAATACCACCAAGCCACACAAACATTAGCTACACGTAATATTTACTCAAGAAAAAATGGGGGCATAGATGAACTTACATTGTTCCTCTTCCCAAATCCGCAAAAACCGGCATCAGCGCCGGCGCCGGCAAGGCAATACTCATGCATAAACCAGTCGGTTTTCTCTCCGGCCAGCAGTTTTCCATGATAGAAAACCAGAACCTTCTTCATCCCAACCACCTGGTTACTCTTCGAAGCAACAATAGGTTTCTCCTTCCCTGTTATCTTCCAGTACCCCGAACCCATTGCTCTATTCACCCGGCGACCATTAGGGTACTTCGCCGATCTTAAATAGAAGAAGTACCTCGCCTGCTCGCCAACACCTAAAATCAACAAAACCAAAATCGATAAGTAGTCGCTCTAATGCGAAAATCTTACCCTTAGTGAAAGGAGAAACGCGGACCTGGAAGATCCCAAGGGTCGTATTTCGGGAGATCGACTTCGGGGATTATGGCGGCCGGTAATGGGAAGGAGAAGGCCTTCCTCTTCAAATACTGGAGAACGAGCTCTTCATCGGTGGGGTGGAATCGGAATCCGGGGGGAAGCCGTAAAGCTCCGAGCTTCGATAAGTTAGGGTTTGCCATTTGTGCCCCAAAGGTCAAAGCTCCTTGTTTTTGCTATAATTTTTGGAAGGGGGAAGAGAGAGGGAGAGTGCGGGGGGCGTTCGAGTTTGTAGGGTGGGGGAAAGGCGGGGGAGCTTTATAGTAAGGTTGCGGGAGAAAGGCGACCACCGATGTGCCGTGAACCAGACTCAACCCTAAAGTCTTCTTTGACGCATTTTAAACGATAGGGGAGGACGATGGTGACAATATATATTTTAATGCCATAACTATATAGTTACAAGGGGAAGAAATGAAATTTAAATACAGACAAATACAAGGTTGGCAAACTGGTAAATTTTTAATCATTTTGTTAACGAATTAAGAGTTGTAGAGAAAACAAATTGAAAAAAATTATTCCATACAGGTCGGATTTACGGTCAGGATGTATTTCAGTGGGACTCACTTAAATTTTTTTTTTAAAAAAAACTGAAATAATCATGACCATAGATTATCGTGATCTACGGTCAGGATCGGACACCGCATGCAGAGATGCATGCGGTGTCTGTATGCAATAATTTCTCAACAAATTGGGAGGAGATAAGAGTTCATAGTTTTTATGTGAGTGTTAATTTTATTTTGGTATTTTAATCATGTGAGCATGTTAATTATCTGATTTTATTAGGATATGATTGAAAAAAAAATATATTATTATTAAAATACTCTAATAAAAATATTAGCTATAAAGTATTTTAATACTCTTATGTGATGTTTATTAGCATATTATTATTGGGATTTAGTCGTTGATTTAACTTAAATATATCAAATACTCAAAAAACTGAACATTACAGCCAATGTTCTGTTAAATCAAATTTTCTCACCTTCTGTCTGTTTTTCCTTGCATTCCGTCTCTTTTCTAATGTAAATCCAGATTTATTAAAAATGGTTGTGAGGCGGATCTATTCCATCGTCGTTCGTGAACTCCGCTATCGAGGATAAATTCAAATTTATCGGATGAATCCTACTTAATGTAAATCTAAGTTACTTCCAAACACCATCTTAGATTTATTTTAAAACAAATGAAATATTAAAATATGGAAGGTAATTTTTTATTTATTATGCGCCATAATAGCAAAAGTAAAAATTATGCGCCTATTGTTACTTTTTGGAAAATATGTCAAAAATTTGTTTAAGACTAAAATATCTATACTCTTTATTGGGGTTTCTAATTTAGGGTTCACTGTGATCCGTATTAATTTAAATAAGGCTCTTATAAGGTTCAAATAATATTCAATGAAATTTGAAGTTTGTATGAAGACGGTTCAAATATCATTCGAACTATGTTCAAATAACATTCAACAATGATAGATGCAAATTATTGAATTAAGTTGTTATGATGTAGTTGTTGATACATTTTAGTGCAATTGCAACAATCATAACATAATATATTGTAAGATGGATAAAACGTTATGTGCAAATTATGACGTAATAGTGATGAATCATAGAAATTGAGACAACAATTTTTAAGATGACCGAAAATATATTAAATCAAAGCTACAACACATGTAAATGATAAGTAAAAATAACATAAAATTTTAGGATAAACATTAAATTGAATGAAAATTGTTACACTATTCTTATAATAATTTATGAGAAAACTATCACTTCTTAAGCCTTTAATACAATTAATTTTAACTTGGCTAAAGCTCCCTTAGGAGTACCTCTTTGTAATATCTTAAAAATTAAAATTTTTTCTCTATTTGGAGCATGTACAAATGATTTACATTAATTTTGAGTAACACTATGATAGAGTCTACAATGTGCATTAAATTTTTTTTTTAATTTTTTTTGACAATTCTCACCCATTAGAAATATATTCTTATATTTTAGAAGTTATATAATCAAGCGAGAATTTATGTCTGAATGAACTGATCCTCTTTTTTTTGTTGCCAAAATTTGATTCACTTTCTATGCTTAGATGTTGCTCCACCAATATACATATGATCATAGAGAATTTTCATGTAAATATTATATAAACAACTTAAATAATGATTTTTCTCAATAAATAACTTATATATCAGCATCCAATTTAATTCAATAATAAATTTATCACCTGAATCCTTCTTTATAAGTATGCCTCTACATGCAACCATAATAGCAACTCATCATGCATTAGAGACAAATTTATTTTTCTATCATCATATCTTCAAACAACATCTTATATAGAATAAGTGTCTCATCAAAATATATGCTACTAAAGTTCCTGACTTTTGAAGTTATCACTGTTTAATACAAGCCTTAGATTGTCCTTCATCTGTATTGTAACTACTACAAATTCTACATTCTCATCTTAGGATACACCGTTCACCATATTTTAGGCCTTGAAGGAGTTATTTGAGGCTTATGACTTCATTAATAATACTCTATAAACTTCTCAAATACTTCTATTTAATATACTCAATTTACGAGAAGCCTTGAATGATGTGATTCATACTCTTCTCTTTTTTTGCAAATGGCGTACTAATTTATTCTCAAATTCTCTTTTAGCTATAATTTTTTCAAGCCCCAATTTACTTTCTTTTTCTCATCTTTTTTTTTTTTTTGCTCTTTGATAATCTCACCAATAGTTTATATTATACACTTGTTGTACTAAAAAAGCAATCATATAAAAGCAATCATATAATGCATATTTTATCTAGTTTCTTTGAAAGTAGGTATAAATCTTCTAATTGAACCACTATAACTGAATAATTCACCTTTCAATGTTATGCTTTCTCTTTTTGTCTCATCATAGAATAATTAACACAATAATTTCTCCTCTTTCATCATAGAATAATTAACACAACTATTTCTCCCCTCCCCCTCTCTCTCGCACTCATATTTTATCTAGTTTTTTTCAAAGTAGATATACATCTTCTAATTGAACCATTATAACTTATTATTTCACCTTTCAATGTTATGCTTTCTTTTTTTTGTCTCGTCATAGAATAACTAACACATAATAATTTCACTCCGCTCTCTCTCTCTCTCTCTCGTACACACCTCTTTCTTAATCAAACTATGAGCATGAATGCTTTACTAAATTCCTTAAAAAAAATTGAGCTACATTGTTTTAAGTAGTAGGTCACACTTGTTTAGGTATTAAAAAAAAGTTGTCATTACTTGGTAATATACAAACAAATCTATAAATGTTTAAAAATTTATCTCTTATTTTGAAAAGAAGTCTTGAATAAAAATTATATAATCTGTTAGAAGGGAAAATAAAAAAAAATGATGACTAAAAGGCACATGATACGTTTTCCCTTTTTTAACTCAAGTTTATTTATCATTTTAAACTCTTAGGCCCTATTTAGTTTGATGGACAACTTTCTGGCTATTTTGCTTTTCAATCTGTCACCGCAGTTCTGTTTAGGGAACTGCATTTATGCAGCTTTCTAGAATTTTTTGTCGTAGAAAGCTCATTTTTGCAATATAACCTGTTAAAGTGTGATGGTTGCCAGAAAACTGCGATCGGAATATTTGAAACTAAAGTAAATTGGTAATTGCCATCAAGGCTTATTAAACAACAACTTCTTTTACAACAACTTCACAACTACTTCTTCAAACAGCTACATCTTCCTCATCTATACCCTTAGATGAAATATAATTATCCCTTTATTTATATTAAATCCACCGGAAAAAAAATACAAGAAGAAAAAATTACTAACCCATTATTATAACTCCCATCTGCTCCTCCCACAAAAATTAAAAAGCATAATCTCTCATCAACTAAACAAAATATAAAACAAAACCATTTTCATGCAATTTTGCCTCAAAAAAATACATCTATGAAAACAAATTTGGTTTCACTTCTTTATCATCTCCATCTCCATCTCCATCTCCATCTCCTGTCCTTCACTTCAGTCAAATCTGTTGACCAACTTCATTATTCCTCCTCACTATTATCCAGTGACCCCATTTGGCCCTCTTCCTGACCCATATTCCCCCTGTAAGATGACTATGATGGAACTCCCATTGCAGATCTGTTAATAAACAACACATAAAAAGCCGAAACAGCATTCTAAACTCCGGTTGAAGTCTATAATACGATCAATATTGCTTTTTAATTAATTATAAGGAAGCAATAGCGTGTCCAACAACGCAATTTTTGGAAGTTTTATATCTTATAAAAATTAAATCACTTTAAATATATTTTTTTTAATGTAGGATGGAGAGTTGGGTCTCTTGGTTTCTGTGTCTTGTTAGCGCACCGTTTTGTGAAGCATCAAAATGAAAGAGATTGGCATGGCTTCTCCACTTGCTAGCAGGAGTTTGGACTTTTCTGTGGGTTTCTGTTGTTGGAGGAATCTTCCTCAGATTATCATGCTTTGATGGGCAAATGTCTCTTCCTTCTCGTAAAAAAGAAAAAAAAAAAAGCAAAATTTGCAAGGGATTCGAGAAATGAAGTGAAAGCATGCTATGACAGTGATGTCTCTTAATAATGGGTGTTTTAAAAAAAAGTGATCTTTCAATTTTTGTCTTATTGGAATGAATAGTTAAGTTGAATTTGACTACTATTTATGAGATTGTATATTTAATAAGATACTAATCACTTATCCCTCTCTCTCTCTATATATATATATATATATATATATATATATATATGTATATATATATTAAAAGTATTGTGAGAACAAACTTGGGGAGGTTTACATACATTCCAATTAATTTTTATGTATTTATATATCTAAAATATAACTAATACATAGTGTTTGATATTTAAATTTATAGCACTTCGTAAGTGTCATAAAATATACAAGATGAAAAAATGATTATAATAGGGATGTAATAAAAAGTTAGCAGAAAAATGACATGATAAAACAATAGTTAAAAAAAAAAGAAAGGTATAACAGTTTATAAATGAAGACAAAACTTATCATCTATATAGTCATAGTTGAGGAAAGACTACCAGGCTCCAACAAACCCATGGAGAGACGAAAGCTGAAGGAAACATGCGTAGCAGGCTAAGGTACTTCCCCAATCAGTTATGTTGCACCACAAGCAAATTAAAACATCATAAGAACATGAAAGAAATTTTAGCTGGGCCTGAATCAAGAATGCTTTGATAATGACATGCAGAAAAACCCAAGACTAGATCAAAAAACATTGGATTTGCAAGATTTAATTATAACTAAAAGAATATAAATTGCCAACTAATGCAAAAGAAAAAAAAAAGAGTACTCCACCAAATGAAAAAAGCTAAACCAATCATTTAGAGGAATTCT